AAGGCTCTATAAATAAACTCCAACGCTCGATCACTTCCCCCATAATGAGAAACCTCACGCCAACGTCAGTCACCAACACAAGCCCCTTTTCATAAACAAGGCGACTCTTGGAGGAGAACTGAAAATGAAAATAAATTCAAATGCCTATTTTGAGACAAACATTTAAGAGCTGAAGACCACTTGGTTTCAGACTAGCTTGAAATAGATTATACTCATGTTGAGATAATTTTTAATTTGCCGTAAAATATATATATATATATATATATATATATATATATATATATATATATATATATATATATATATATATATATATGCTAAATAAATAGAGTGATCTCTCTGTGAATCAGTTTTAATATTTCATATTACTAGGATCCACCTGGATTATGAAACAACGGATATGTACTATATATATATATATATATATATATATATATATATATATATATATATATATATATATATATATATATTGATGCATATTTCATTAAATAATATAGAGACGTTTTGTCTATTTATTTTAAGTAAGTTCCTTTCATATTGTCTGAAAAGCTTAATAACATTATCATTGAAAGATGAAAGTAAATCACCATATTGATACATGTTTTAATCCTATCTAAGCTTGATAAGACATACATCGATATATATATATATATATATATATGCTCTAATAAATAGAGTGATCTCTGTGAATCAGTTTTAATATTTCATATTACTAGGATCCACCTGGATTATGAAACAACGGATATGTATATATATATATATATATATATATATATATATATATATATATATATATATATATATATATATATTGATGCATATTTCATTAAATAATATAGAGACGTTTTGTCTATTTATTTTAAGTAAGTTCCTTTCATATTGTCTGAAAAGCTTAATAACATTATCATTGAAAGATGAAAGTAAATCACCATATTGATACATGTTTTAATCCTATCTAAGCTTTTCGCTTTAAATAAGACACATATATCGATATATATATATATATATATATATATATATATATATATAAAAGAATATAGTCTTAAGGTGTGCTATATTTATGGGATAAAGTGCTCAATATCAAAGATAGAGCGTATGTAAATATAAAAGGAACATAGAAGTCAACACTTAGAGGCGACAGTCTGTTTCATGCTAGATACAATCGTCAGACCTGACGATTGCATCTAACATGAAAGTGTTGACTTCTATGTTCACTTTAACTTCTAAGTGTTGACTTCTATGTTCACTTTATATATATATATATATATATATATATATATATATATATATATAATAAAAAGGCTTAAACACTAATATTCCATGGTCATATTTTATTCCATTGGAATCGTAAATACGATCCAATTCATCAGACCTACAAATTCAAAAAGAAAACAGAAAAAACAACTCCGGAAATAAAAACAGAATTTAGAGAGAGGGTAAGTATGAGGAGGAGGGCGATTAAACCTTAACAGAGAGAATTTTAGGAAAGGTGAGTGGAAGGGGTTTAAGTAAGAGAAAAATGAATGTTGTCGGATGTCTAATGCATAAAGATACATTTCGTGGTGACGTATATACACACCATAGACAATCTAATGTTAGAATAAGAGGGAGGGAAAGACGAGGTGGTGGAGAGAGATGGGACGAAGGAAAGTAAAATTGCGTTTACTTAAAGGGCTGCTTTGTAATTGAGAAAATTTGACAAATTTAATATCGACTACAGGTTACAAATCAAATATAAATATATAAAAAATAAATATAAACGATTATCTAATCCAGCAAGGACCTATATTTTTTATGTTCAAAAACATATATATATATATATATATATATATATATATATATATATATATATATATATATAAAATATAAAAATATATTTTTCAAATGGATCCTCTCATATTCACGGACAAACTTTTTAGTATCCTTATTAAAGGAAAAGAGAAAATTACTCAGTTCATTTATTCATTTATTCAGAGTACTTTCGACATTAGCACAATGTCATCATCAGGAGGTTTCTTTTTTCCTAAGACAAACATTGTTGTTCGTCTGAAAGATATTTTTTTTTACCTGCGAAGTGAAAACCTTTCTCGTTATGCGGTGTATGATTTAAATTCCATGATGTAAACGTCAAGGGTGTTTATGAAGTTTACATCATAAAATTTAAATCGTCCAGTTCATAACCATACAGTAATTTATATATTTTAAAATCATTTCACCACCAAGCAAGGCGAGAATCGATGTTTGAACGTATTTAGGCCGTAAGCCCCATTCAAAAGTGGAATGAATCGCTTCTAAAGGCAAAATGCGGTTCTAAAAGGTGAAATATGGATCTAGCGGTTGCAAAGGCAAAAGGCGGTTGTAGCAGTTCTAAACGCGAAACGTCATTCTAGAGGTTTTAAAGGTAGAAAGTGGTTCTAGCGATTCTAAAGGCAAAAGGCGGTTGTAGCAGTTCTAAAGGCGAAACGTGATTCTAGAGAGTTTTAAAGGCAAAAATAGGTTCTAGCAGTCTTAAAGCAAATGGCGGTTCTTGTGTTTCTAACGACAAAAGTCGGTTCTAGCGATTCTAATGACAAAAGGCGGTTTTAGTGTTTCTAAAGACAATAGACTGTTCTAACGGTTCTAAAAACAAAAGGCAATTATAGCTTTTCTAAAGGCTAAGTTGGAGCGTTTCTGCGTCTAAAGGTAGTTCTGGTTGTTCTAAAGGCAAAACGTTGTTCTGGCGATCCTATGCTCAAAAGATAATTCTAGCAGTTCTAAAAGCAAAAGGGTTCTAGCGTTTCTAAGGGTAAAAGGTTTTTCTCGGGCACAAGTTGGTTCTTGCGGTTCTAAAGTCAAAAGCCGGTTCTAGCGCCTCTGAAGGCAACTCGGTACAAGAAGAGTCCGCCTAATAAATTGACAAGTGTGTGTGTGTGTGTGTGTGGACATAGGAATTACCACTGTAATGAAGGACTGAAAATTCCTCTGTCCTCAAACACTCTATCTCCTATGGTGACAATTCTTCCCACATAAATAGAGCTAATTTTAAGCAACACATATGCGTACGTATGTGTGCGTACGTATGTGTGCGTACGTATGTGTGCGTACGCGCGCGTGTGTGTGCGTATGTGCGTCCTTTTCTATTTCGTATTCTGTACTTCTGTCCTCTCTTTCTCTCTCTCGCTCTCAGTTTATCATTTATTTGTTTTCCGGAAAAATATGCATCTGCGCATTTAAGAATGTGTCACGTGTTTCAACAGAAAACTTACGATTAATCGCAGGTTGCCAAAAGCATAATTTCGCTTTGTACAAATGAAAAAGGAAAGAAAAAAAAAATCTTTCGTGGCAAAGTAAAAGGAAGGCGGTGGCGATGATTTAATGGTCGTATAACGGGATCTATTTGCGCGTCAGGACGGAAGGAAGAGAATAAAACTAACGGACGATCTTGGAAAAGAAGAACAAAACGAAAGTGAAAGTGAAAGTGAAAGTGAAAGTAGTTATTATACAAGTATGATGTCACGTGACTAGCGAACGGAACATTAGGATGGGATCGAGCTGTTATTTGACAGAACGGAGATGATTAGTTCCATTAGAGATAAGAAGTGAAAAGGGAGGGAAAAAGGAAAAAAAAACAGAATTGCGCAATCGGGCAATTTCTATCGAGATGGGAAGAGGGTATATCAGATCATTTTTTTCTCTCCACAAAAAGATGAAATGTACTCGTGGCGATGTTAAGAAGAAAAATGAAAAGATGGCAAGTACGAATCAAAAAGCAATGACAAAAAGACAGTCGAAAGAAACAGAAGGCTTTATCTTAATGAAGAAATGAATATATTAAGTCAACATAAATAGATGCCAGGAGTCTTACAGACTATCAGATAGACAGATACGAAGAGATAGATAGATAGATAGACAGACAGACAGACAGATAGATAGATAGATAGATAGATAGATAGATAGATAGATAGATAGATTTGAACAAGTCTAGATAGAAAGATAAACAGATAGATTTAAACAGTTCAGGATAGATAGATAGATAGATAGATAGATAGATGAATAGATAGATAGATAGATAGATAGATTTGAAAAAGTCTAGACAGAGTTTTGAACAGGTCAAGATAGATAGATAGATAGATAGATAGATAGATGATAGATGACAGTAAAATAAATATATAGATTTGAACAGGTCAAGATAGATTTGAACATAGATAGATAGATAGATAGATAGATAGATAGATAGTGATATATAAATTCACACAAGACACACAGATGAAAAATGCACTTTTGAATTAATGCTGTGAACGTTAGAATATATCTATTATTTTCGTTCTCATTGCATCAGATATATATATATATATATATATATATATATATATATATATATATATATATATATATATATATATAAAAAGTGTGTATATAAATATATAAATATATATATATATATATATATATATATATAATTATTTATATATTATATGCCTGACGTTATATATATCATATGTCTGACGATCGCAAAAGCCTGAAACCCAGGGTCACAAACTCAATCAAAAATCCAACCAGATATATATATATATATATATATATATATATATATATATATATATATATATATATATATATATATTATAATTATTTTTATAATTATAATTTAAGCTGTACTTCTGTATGGAGCGCTGTTTTTAAAAATAAAAATACTAAAGAACTCCGGATTATTTACCTAACGTGTTCTTTTCCTATTTTTTACATACCTGCATATATATATATATATATATATATATATATATATATATATATATATATATATATATATATGTATGTATGTATATAAAATGGACACTGAAGTCAAGACAAAGGTGTAATAGTCTGCTTCATGCTTGAACGCATTCATCAGGGCTGACAGTCGCTCGGTGTTGACTAAGGTGTCCACTTTTATATTAACATACATTCTATGACTGATATTAGCACTTTTACCTTAAAACTAGATATTTATCATAACAAATAAATAGGTTTATATTAGATAGATAGATAGATAGATAGATAGATAGATAGATAGATAGATAGATAGATAGATATAGAATCGGATAGCTTGACAGAGAGAAACGAATAGTCTGGTAGAGAGATAGTTGCGTACATTTAGTCTGATACATAGATAGTTTTATACGAATACCCTGATAGATAGATAGATAGATAGATAGATAGATAGATAGATAGATACGAGAAGCCTGGTAGCTATCTAGCTAGCTAGCTAGCTAGCTAGATAGATAGATTGATAGATAGAAACAGAATGAATTTGTCACGAACAATATGATATATACGAACTGATCGATTTATATCTGAATACACATTCAACTTCGAGAAAAATCGACGATCTGAGTGAATTGTATTTGAATAACCAGACACAGACATGCAGACAGACATTCCAACTTATTTCCTGAACATAATCAAGTCGTAAGCCAAACACAAAGGACAATAAAATATGGGTAGCTTTCCTTAATTATTTAATCGGAATTCAGCAGACGATAGTTATTTCTTTCCCACCAGCACCGCACGCACACACGCACATATCTCTCGACTCGCTTCTGCGCATGCGTTCTTCTTTACCTCCACTTACCTATCAACACTTACTTACCTTTTACCGAAATGTCCACCCACGCGAGATTTCCGCGCAGAAGTTATTATTTCACAATAAATTTTTTTTTCTGAATATAATTTTTCGTTTATCATCATTGAATCATGTGCTGCTCAAAAGTGCGTTGTCATTATGTTCTTAAATTAGAATGGTAAAGAATGAAATGAAAAATATTAATAATAATAATAATAATAATAATAATAATACACTATTTGCATTATTCGGACTATTGTCCTCATCTTTGTCGCCATATTTATTACAACGTTTCGGCCTTTCAGTATCTGTCTATACTTCTGAGATGAGGTATTATATACACTATTTACATTATTCGGACTATTGTCCTCATCTTTGTCGCCATATTTATTACAACGTTTCGGCCTTTCAGTATCTGTCTATACTTCTGAGATGAGGTATTATGTACACTATTTACATTATTCGGACTATTGTCCTCATCTTTGTCGCCATATTTATTACAACATTTCGGCCTTTCAGTATCTGTCTATATTTCTGAGATGAGGTTTATTATTTACACTATTTGTCATTAATCGGACTGAACCCTCATCTTTGTCGCCATGTTTATTACAACGTTTTTGACCCTTCACTTTGTCTATATTTCTGAGATCAATATTATATACACTTCCATTTACATTATTCGGACTAGATGTCAGTTATTTTCGTCTCCATATTTATTTCAACGTTTCTCCCGTTAACGGGTACTGAACTTCTTCTTTTGGTTCTGTCATCTGGATCTACCCTTTATTTCGGCGGTGGAGAACTATTCTAGTTCCAAGTGCCATGAAATAACTGAGATACATTAAAACATGGCACGTGAAACTAGAACAGTCTACCCCAGTGAGCGAAATAAATGGTTCAGTTCGACATTCCAACCACCTGAAAAAGGCCGAAGCGTACATCGGCCGAAACGTTGTAATAAATATGGCGACAAAGATGAGGACAATAGTCCGAATAACGTAAATAGTGTACAAAATACCTCATCTCAGAAATATAGACAGATACTGAAAGGCCGAAACGTTGTGATAAACATGGCGACAAAGATGAGGACAATAGTCCGAATAATGTCATTAGTGTATTATTATTCTTAGTAGTAGTAGGAGTAGTAATATTTTTCATTTTATTCTTTGCCATTCTAATTTAAGAACATAATAACAATTCACTTTTGAGCAGCATGATTTAGTGACGATAAAAGAATTATAATATTCAGAAAAAATAATATAAATAGTGTACATAATGCCACATCTCAGAAATATAGACAGATAATAATAATGATAATAATAATAATGATAATGATAATAATAATAATAACTACAGCACAATACACCGACTGAAACTGCAAAATACCTAAAAAAGACAGCAAAGACGAATGCAACCGACCAGCGACAAAAGCGATGGCAAGATAAACCGCTTCATGGCCAATACTCTGCCCGTACCAAACAAGCTGACGTAGACAAAACCCGTACCCATCAGTGGCTACGTAGTGCAGGGTTGAAAGCGGAAACTGAAGGTGTTATCCTTGCTGCGCAGGACCAATGCTTGCTAACTAGGAATTATCAAGCACATATACTAAAATATTGTGTCAGCCCAAAATGCAGATTCTGTGATAAATATCCAGAAACAATTGATCATCTTGTATCAGGTTGCACGATATTGTCACCCACTGAATATAAAACCCGGCATTACAGAGTGGGCCAATATCTGCACTGGAAAATCTGCAACTTCTACGGGAAGGAAACTGAAAGAAACTGGTATGAACACCACCCAGACCCGGTTATGGAGATAGGACCTGTTACAATTCTATGGGACTACACAATACACACTGACAGAACAATCAAGGCCAACCGGCCAGATATTGTTATTAAAGACCACAAGCAAAAACGGTGCCTCCTTATTGATATGGCAGTCCCTGCTGACTGCAATGTATCTTTGAAGATATTCAAAAAGTTGTCAAAGTACAAGGACCTTGAAATAGAAATCTCGAAAATGTGGCATATGGGAACATCAACAATCCCTGTTGTAGTTGGAGCCCTAGGACTGGTTGGAAAAGATTCCAGTAGACTAATTGAAGGGATTCCTGGAAGTGCATGCCTCAAGTAGATGCAAAAAATTGTTCTGACAAGTACAGCCCACACCTTACGAAGGGCTTTATCTATATAATTTTTTTTTTTTTTTTTTTGTCAGTGGAAAGTGTCATGACGCCATTTCTAACCTTAGGTCCCTGAGCGGGACCCGGAAAGAAATGTGTAAACGCCAGAAATGAAAGAAAATAATAATAATAATAATAATAATGATAATAATAATAATAATAATAATAAAAACCTTGAAATTGAAATATCAAAAAAGTGGCACATGAGAACATCAACAATCCCTGTTGTAGTTGGAGCCCTCGGATTGATTGGCAAAGATTCTAATCAATGAAATGATTCCTGGACGCCTATGCCTTAAAGAAATTAAAAAAAACACGAGTACAGCCCTTACCTTACGAAGGGATTTATCTATGTAAATTATGTCTGTTGTTTTTTGTTTTTTTTTATTTCAGTGGAAAATGTCGTGATGCCATTTCTGACCTTAGATCTCTGGTCGGGACTCGGAAAGAAATACATAAAAATATGATTAAAATAATAATAATAATAATAATAATAATAATAATAATAATGGACATGTCAGTTCTTGCAGATTTATCATGTATCTTTGAAGATCTTCAAAATTCTATCAAAATACAAGGATCTTGAAGTGGATATCTAAAAAATGTTGCACATGGGGACATCAACAATCCCTGTTGTAGTTGGAGCCCTCGGAATGGTTAGAAAAGATTCCAGTAGACTCATTGAAGGGATTACTGGAAGCCCATACCTTAAAGAAATACAAAAGAAATGTTTTCACTTGTACATCCCACACCTTACGAAGGACTTTATGTAAAAAATGTGTGTGTGTGTTTTTGGGGGGAAGGGCTTTTTCTTTAATTGCTCAGTGGAAAATGTCACGATGCCATTTCTAAGTTTAGGCCTCTGCGCGGGACCCGGAAAGAAATGAGTACACAACAGAAATCAAAGGAATAATAATAATAATAATAATAATAATAATAATAATAATAACAACAAGTAGAGCCCACACTTTACAAAGGCTTTTATTTATGTAAAATACATGTGATTTTTTTCTAAACTGCCTTAAACAAATACAAAAACTGTGACCCCCACATTACGAAGATCTTTTTCTATGTAAACTTTGTATCATCTTAGGAAGTTATTTTTACAAAAATGATTAATTGAAAATGTCATGAAGCAACTTCTGACCTCATGGAAGGAAATGTGTAAGAAGAAGAAGAAGAAGAAGAAGAAGAAGAAGAAAAAGAACCACCACTACCACCATCATCATTATCATCATCAAAACTAATCGCCCTGACATCGTTATTAGAGGCTGCAAACAAAAAAAAAAGTGCCTCCTTATTGATATGGCAGTCCCTGCAGACTGCAATGTATCTTTGAAGATCTTCAAAAAGCTACCAAAATACAAGGACCTTGAAATCGAAATCTCAAAAATGTGGCACATGGGAATATCAGCAATCCCTGTTGTAGTTGGAGCCCTCGGATTGATTGGAAAAAATTCCAGTAGACTAATTGAAGGGATTCCTGGGAGTCCATGCCTTAAAAAAATACAAAAAGAAAAAAATATTCTCACGAGTAAAGCTCACACCTCACGAAGAAATTTATCTATGTAATTTATGTTTTTTTTAATTGCTCAGTGGAAAATGTCATTTCTGACCTTAGGTCTTTGGGTGGGACCCGCTAAGAAATGAGTACACACCAGAAATCAAAGGAAAGGAAATAATAATAATATAAAAGTCGGCATTCCAACCATCTGAAGAAGGCAGGCGCGTACAACTGCTGAAACGTCCTAATAAATATGGCGATAAAGATGACGACAATAGTCCGAATAATGGAAATAGCGGACATAATACCTCATCTCAGAAATATAGACAGATACAAATATCAGGATAGCTAGATAGATAGCTAGATAGATAGATAGATAGATAGATAGATACGAATGGTTTCACCAAAAGTATCATTGATCGCATCATTCATCGTTAGCATTCATTCATCGTTATGAATTCATTCATTATCTTCTATCTATCATCTATCATCTATCTGGATATTCGTATCTATCTATCTATCTATCTATCTATCTATCTATCTATCTATCCCGATATTCGTATCTGTCTATATTTCTGAGATATGTACGCTATTTACATTATTCGGACTATTGTCGTCATCCCTGTCGCCATAATTATTACAACGTTTCGGTCGTTGTACGCTCCGGCCTTCTTCAGATGGTTGGAATGCCGACTTTTATATTATTATTATTTCCTTTCCTTTGATTTCCTTTGGTGGTTGCAATGTCGAAATGAACCCTTTATTTATTATAAAGTTTGCCAACTAATTGACATGAGTATATCAAGTGCCTAAAACATCTCTACGGAGCTATTTGAGAAACTAAGAAGATACGAAGATCTGGAGATGGAAATAGAAAAAAAAATGTGTCATTTAGAAAAACTGTTCCTGTTGTGGTTGGAACTTTGGGTCTGAAAAACAAGAGAACTCAAGAATACATCAACAAAAGCCATGGCGCACCATCTCTTCAGGCTACATAAAAATAGTTTTAACAAGCACTGTTTATATCCTATAAAGACATTTGTCTATTTATATTTTTGCTTCGTAGCTGTCTTTGGTTTAAAAGTGGAAGTAAGAACCAAGTAAAAGATTTTGGAAGGTTTAGGAGAGGGACTGAGAAAATTCCAAATACGATGCCGTCTTTGCATTGTTTTAGTTTTAATATTCTAAAACCGTCTTTGCAAGAATTTAACTCGAAATCTCCACGAAATACGAAGAATTCTGCCAGAATAGACACCGTCAAAGATATGGCTAATGATTCTTTTCATATATTTTTGTCTTGGAAAATGTCTTGGAATGTTTAGGAAAATGTTATGGTCCGGTTCCTTGTACCACGGTGATAGTCCAAAGGTAGAACCAATAATGAAGAACTCGAACACAGGTATGGAATAACACAGATATATTACAAACAGGAATATATACAGAGAAGTAGAAGTGTTAGTATGAACAATCAGGTTTAGTAGAGAGAACTATGTAGTCTCGACGATTATCACTATTCCAATGTCTTGCAGTAATTGTCTGAACGCGACTCTGTTTCGGACTGCCTTAGACTCGACTCTTGACTCGACTTTATCACTATTGTTATGGTCCGGTTCCTTGTACCACGGTGATTGTCCAAGGTAGAACCAATAAAGAAGAACTCGAACACAGGTATGGAATAACACAGATATATTACAAACAGGAATATATAAAGAGAAGTAGAAAGTGTTAGTACGAACAATCAGGTTTAGTAGAGAGAACAATGTAGTCACGACCAGTATCACTATACCAATGTCTTGTAGTAATTGTCTCAACGCGACTCTGTTTCGGACTGCCTCTGACTCGACACTTGACTCGACTTGAACTACTGACGATATTCAGTCACCCCCCACGAGGGCGTCATGTTGCACAAGGCCTTTTTAACGTGGGATCTCCAAGCCCGTGGGCTCGGCCAAAAATATGTCCATTGAACCCGTACAAACGGGTTCAGGGTCGGTTTACCTCCCCGAAAGAGAATCCGCCCTTCGGCATAGCCTCGTTCGGGTTCCTCCCCGCCCGAAGGCAGAGAGTTCAACCGATCTGTCGTTCAAGACTTGAACTACTGACGATATACAGTCACCCCCCCCACGAGGGTGTCATGTGGCACAAGGCCTTTTTAACGTGGGCATTCGCGAGCCATTAGGCTCGGCCAAAAAAAAGTCCATTGAACCCGTATAAACGGGTTCAGGGCCGATTTTACCTCCCCGAAGGAGACTCCGCCCTTCGGCGTAGCCTCGTTCGGGTTCCTCCCGCCCGTGGGAAGAGAGTACAACCGTGCAGTCGTTCAAAACTTGAACTACTGACTCCTGGCCTACTCCTGAGGCGCAGTATTTATTAAGTATAGAATAGTCCATTATTATTATTATGTTTAAGATCCCATAACAGAAAAGGATTGAGAAAATTCCAATCATTATGTCTGAAAAACCGTCTTTGCAAGAAGTTGACCCGAAATCTCCTCGAAACACGGAGAGCTCTGCCAGAATAGACACCGACCAAGATGCGACTCATGATTCTGTGCATATATTTTTGTTTGTTCAAGTTTTGACTAACGAAACAATTGCACATATCTTGCCCCCAAGTTCTTGGTTGGCACTCAGCAAGTAATTTAATAAAAATAAATGGACAGTTAAAATGAACTTACTTTTTGCAATAATGATAATTAAAAGAAATACCAACAGTAGTGACTTTCTCCGTGTGTCAGTTTTTGGTTCCGTTCGGGGTCTGCGTTACCTCTCGTCCAACGACAACTAACTCCGTTAGTAATGCAGAAGAAATCTGAATCGGGAAATACAATGGCACTTCATCATTGCTCAGTAAAGTGAAAACTGAAAATATCCCTCACCCGCAAAATAGATGCCTCTTCTTTGGAGAAGGTAATGATAAACTACATATTCAGTGTAGATAGCCAGTTGGCCTCAAAAGAATACTAATAATTCCCCCCACACACTGACTAGAGAGAGAGAGAGAGAGAGGGAGGAAAGGGTAATGATAGATAGATAGATAGATAGTGAACAGACACTAATATATATATTTTGTAATCGTTTCACCCCAAGCAAGGCGGGAAGCCACTAGCACATAAAGGGTTACAGAGAGTTGGAGTGAGAGCGAATAGGAGTGATAGAGGAAAGGATGAAGGGAAGGATAGGGGATAGATAGTTAGGGATGCGCAGAATGAACTAAGATTTTTTGCTATGGCATTAGAATATATCAGAAAGAATTTTCGTCAGGTTGCGTGATCTTCTCTTGCATCCACAACAATAAATAATACTTAATATAAAACAAGGCAAAACAAGTATGCAATTCAAACAAACAAATGCATTTATATACAATACAAATATTATATACAAAATATTATTACAAGATATTATTGTGTTATTATTTTTGATTTTGATTTTGTTGTTTTTTTGTATTACAGTCTATAAGAATTCGTAATTTGTGTTTAAACACCGTTATTATGTTCGTGTTGTTCTTTTTGTATTGTTTAGAATTTAGTCATTTAGAAGTAGTCTACCCTTAACTGTAAGAATGAAATATGTTCAATAATAGTATTTACTTAAATTGTAGTGAGCGTTAATAATTCACTTTGGATAAGTAAAGTCTTGCGAGTTGAAGTTCTTTGTATTCAGAGAGTAATCTTCGAGTCGAGTTTGTGGGTGAGTCAGTTGTGCGTTTTTTTTCGCGCGGGAAAATTATAATCGCAAGTTGCGTGGATTAGATTAGCGCTTCTTTGTGTTCGCTGGACTGACGATATTCAGTCACCCCTCCACGAGGGCGTCATGTGGCACAAGGCCTTTTTAACGAGGGATCTCCGAGCCCGTGGGCTCGACCAAAAATATGCCCATTGAACCCGTATAAACGGGTTCAGGGTCGGTTTACCTCCCCGAAAAAGAATCCGCCCTTCGGCGTAGCCTCGTTCGGGTTCCTCCCCGCCCGAAGGCAGAGAGTTCAACCGATCAGCCAGTGTTCGCTGGACTGACAGATTTGGTCAGTTGGAAATCTTCCTTCTATAAGGTTTTAGACGTCAGGATCGGCTCGAATAGGTTTTGGCGCAATTTAACTTCCTCACGTAAAGTTTTTGAATTATCACGTTGCGAGCCAATAGAAATCGCAGCTTAGTACAGTAAGGTTTTTTGATTGGTCAATTTGATTCACGTAGGCGTGTAAAATGGAATGTTCCTGTTGCTAGGGGTGATAAGGTAAATTGATGAGTCCACAAGATCAATGCATCTGGAGAGAGCAAATAGGAGTGATAGAGGAAAGGATGAAGAGAAGGATAGGGGATAGATCAGGGCATCTGGAGACGTCGATTGACATTACATTTGAATAGTTGGAGATTGTAGCTATCAGGGAAACAGGAAAAGGGGAGGGAGTTCCACAGGCGAGAAGTGAGAGACATAAAACCACTGGAGTAGAAGAGACGGCTACATTTAACAGTTTCGACAATGAAAGGGTGAGAGCGAGATGCCAGCCTAGTTGAACGCTTAAATTCATGAAGTCTGGCAACCAGCAAAAGTAGCTCATCGGAGCAGTTCCCATGATGAGAACGAATAGAATACATTACAACGTTCGTAACATTTAATTCAAAGGGGGGGGGCTCCATGCAGAGTAGAGCAAAATATTTGTTTTAGGATATTAAAACAAAAATATGTTAAAAATCGATACGCAATTGCGGTCGTGTTTCAACGTGTATCAATGCGTCTCCTCAGGCGATTGTAAATTACTGGCGAGTGAACGATTAATTTAATTTCAAAAGTAAAATACCTCCTCTTTTGTTTGAGAGAAAAAATGGCTTGAGGGATTTACCGTGATCAACCAATCGAATATGACTTACGTTAAACTCAATCTAAGGAAAAAAGAAATTTTTCTAAGAAATGGGTCGTGAAGTTGGCTGCAATCCCAGACATAAGATTAAAGACTGACACTCATGGTTACGTTATTTCGTAAAGTGTAAACAAATGTGAAAATCAAATTTGCCAAGAACTTAAAAGGGGAGATAGATGGGGGGGGGGTAATTTAACCTAATGCTAACTGTTTTGTGAGTTTCCTATATAAAACTGTTGTAGTTGATAAATAAGAGCCCCTTTAAGAATCTAGTAAATAATTTAAGCGTATAGAATTATTTGGGAAATAATTTACAATCGCCTGAGGAGACGAATTGATATGCGTTGAAACACGATAGCAATTGTGTAGCGATTTCTAACATGTTTTAGTTTTAATATCCTAAAATAAATTATATATATATGTACGACAGTACATAATGTATTTATATGTGAACACATACACGTACATATAATTATACTTATTGATTTGATTATATATATATATATACAGAGATAGAGAGAGAGACAGAGACAGAGAGAGATTAACAGTGACTGAGATAGATAGATTTGGACTGATCAAGATAGATTTGAATAGGTCTAGATAGATAGATAGATAGATAGAATCAGTAAAATAGATAGATAGATAGATAGATAGATAGATAGATAGATAGATAGATAGATAGATTTCGATATTTCAAAATAGATAGATAGATAGATAGATAGATAGATAGATAGATAGATAGATAGATTTCGACATTTCAAAATAGATAGATAGATGATAGATATTTGGACAGGTCAAAATAGATATGAAGAGAAATTGGGATAGATAGATAGATAGATAGATAGATAGATAGATAATTAACAAACACTAACTAAGATATATAGATTGGTACATAGATAAATAATGAACATCTAGCAAAATAAATAGATCGTCTTTACCCTGTATTAATCCATTAAAATGATCCCTCTTCATTGGCATTATGCCAGCATTTCTTAAAATAGACGTCTTTCTCTTTATTGCTTCTGACATTAAAGATGGAATGAAATAAACGACATTTTCACCATATTATTCGATTTTCACCTATTAAAGATAAGAATGCGACGTAATTCCTCCTGTCTGCAGCCTTATATATAAGGTACTGTTATAAAAAGTCAAATGTATAAAAAATGGCTTCTGAAGTTTGGAAATTTCTCACTAAGTAATACTCTCCTTTCCTGTGACATAAGTAATGTTAGTTTCGTTCAGATCAAGTTATAAGCGACAGGATTCACATTAGTAATTTCCGAAATATCTAAATCCTGTTAAATATCCTTTGGTGCAGTTTGGTTATGTTAGTCGCTTTGATGTGTGATTTCCGCATAAGTTTACGAAAAGACGATCCAGACCCGACGATAATCAATTTTATAGGCCCAGAATATAGCCAACAATCTTGTGAATATCCAACTCAAGCACTGAAAATTATTTACACCAGATTGGTATGTTAGTCACTTTTATGTGTGGCTTCCACATAAGTTTCTAAAAGAAAAATCAAGACTTGAGAATAATCAATGTTATATGGGAAAAAAGATATCCAATTGACTCAAAATATCAAAATCAAGTATAGATAATCATTTGGCCTGGTTTGTTTAATATAAAAAAAACAAGAAATCAGAATAATCAGTTATATGATTCAGGAGAAAGCCAACAGTCTCAAAATATCCTAGTTAAAATTAACAATAATAAGACTGGTTATGTTGGTCACTTTGATGTGTGGCTTTCACATAATTTGAATGCAAAAAAAACAAAAAAAACGGCAGATATTATTTCCGTGTGACCAGCGATAAAAAGTGGGTACTTTACAACAACGTGTAGAAAGTAAAATGAATCATTATTGAACTCTTGAAAGGATGGTCTTCATAAAAAAAAATGATATTGTATCAGCGTGATAAGCGATGAAAAGTTGGTACATTATAACAATATAAAGAAAAACTGAAATGGATCATTACTGAACATATCAAAGGCTGACCTTTTTTATTATATATATATATATATATATATATATATATATATATATATATTGTTCATAAGACAGACGACTTGTATTTTCGTCTAGCCAAATAAGCTTATTCTCCATACGAGGTGATTCTGGATTTTATTGTTTAGTAAATATTTGCTTTCTTTCAATAAATACATTGGGCTTTTTTTGTGGCTCACTTTTATAATTTATATTACTTGGATTATATACCAACAGATTTATTACCTTATATATATATATATATATATATATATATATATATATATATATATATATATATTCATATCGTCTGATAAAGCTTAATAACATTATCATTGAAAGACGAAAGAGAATCACCATATTGATACATGTTTTTTTATCTTATCTAAGCTTTCAGCTTACATAAGCCATCATCAAAAATGACTATGACATTACAATAAATTATACAATACACAGAAATAGCTGCAATGATAGTCTGTTTTTGACGAGGACGAATATTTTTCTATGAAAATTTCTCGGACATTCAGACCGGTAAATATTGTTTAATACTGTTTATTATAAACTGAGCATTTACTTAAATATGTGTATCTATAAAAAGAATGTATAAACATAAAATGTCTTAAAGATATATATATATATATATATATATATATATATATGTGTGTGTGTGTGTAAAGACAATAAGAGAACTGTAATATTAACTGATGCGTTTCGTCCAATGTGGACATTTTTAAGGCGAAAAGGAAATGAATTTGTTAAAACAAAGTAACTAAGAATAACAAAACAAAATGTCCTTAGACGCTTAAAGAATTCAGAAAACGCTATTATATTCATATTGTCAACTGAAAATTACGTTAAGTACTGTCACGTGTGGAAATATAGTTTTATGATTAACTCTGAGAAATTTTTCATATATATATATATATATATATATATATATATATATATATAGTGAGAGAGAGAGGAATTTACGACGATTTGATTCTTTAGAATCAGGTCATCTCTAGTTGAGCGGAAATGTCAAGTGTCTGTCATCGCAAATGAAGATAAATTTTATCTGTACCATTTTCAGTTTATCTTTCCCCACATAAAGGTGTTACATTTACAACGGCCTTTGTCAGCACGTTGTAACTTTTCACTTCATATATATATATATATATATATATATATATATATATATATATATATATATATTTTTCTTTTCTTTCCCTCCCCCCACCTCTTCTTCTGATCTTTAAGATTATATCGTCTCCTGTGTGTGTATGTCACCACAAAATGTATCCTTTCCGGTTACATCTTTAATGTATTAGACATCCGACAACATTCATATTTCTTTCACTTAAACCGTCTTTGACTCCCCTCTTTAAAACTTCTCTCTGTTAAATTTTAATCCCCACTTCATCTTTAGACTTTCCTGTTCTTCTCTCGTCTGTTACCCCTCCCTATAGCTTTCATTTACTCTTACATTCGTCCCACACTCTTATACATACACTCTCACTAAATTTTATTTTTTATTTCTGGTGTTGTTTATTCTGTTTTCTTTTTGAATTTGTAGGTCTGATGAATTGTATCGTATTTACGATTCCAATGGAATAAATTATGACCATGGAATATTAGTGTTTAAGCCTTTTTTATTATATATATATATATATATATATATATATATATATATATATATATATATATATAGTAGTGGCTAGAGTTTATGAATTTAAGCGAGGTACTAGACTGGCGTCTAGATCACATCAATTTGCTGTTGTGTCGGCTAGATCTAACCGTTAGTTCTATGCTAACATTTACTTTTCTCGCTATGTATGTATGTCAATATAAAACTTCAAACATTATTTTCAGTGTACAGCCTTACTGCAAATAGTCATCCAATATTCATTTTAAACAATGGTGTTGATTGTGAAATAAAGAGTTGTTTTCTTTTTGTTTTTTGTTTTTAAATTCAAAACCAAATCAATCCCCCTCAATAGGGGGAAACACTGTTAAGTAACCGATGATGACTAATCAGAATACAAGTATATTGTAATTCGAAAAAGGTGACAACATATTCTAAAAAAAACCGTTAGTATATTTAAATTAATGTTAGGTTAAACTAGAAATCAATATCTAATAATTAAAATTTAATTCCACAGTAAACTTAAAAATTAACGATTACAAATTTCTAATTCTAATGATTGGCTCTTCATCACAATATGAAGGGAGGAGTAGATGCAGTAGGCAACAATAAACTACAGAAGACCTCAAAATTGGTTTAAGTATTTATTTAAAATTTTATTATTATGTTTTTTAATATTTTTCTAGATTATCAGTACAACTGTAACTTAATTTAAGCGTATTTTTATTGAGAGTCTTGCTTAAGGATTATTACTTGGGAAATGTTTCTCAATCAAAGCGAGAAGCTTTTGCCCTAACTTAGTGATAACCATTTGTTTAAATGGGGGGTGTACCGAATGATATATATATATATATATATATATATATATATATATATATATATATATATATATATATATATATCAGGTCATCCCCATAAGTTCTGTCCGAATTTTTTGAATAAAGAAAACAAGTGGCCAAATGTTACATTTAATTACAGATTCAATCAACAATTTATTTTCCCTGATTATCTATGACTTCCTTCCATCTATTAACAAGCTTACTAATTCCATTACTGTAAAATTCTTTTGGCTTTGGTCCGAAGAACTCACAAATGTCAGTTTTAACCTCTTCCTGTGTTACAAAAGCTGTTTCTTCCAAATATTTCTGTAAACTACGAAACAAATGGTAGTCTGAAGGAGCAAGATCGGGAAAATAAGATGGATGAGGAATTTTCTCCCAACCAAGTTCTTCGATCTTTTGTGATGTCATTCTTGCTGTGTGGGGTCGCGCATTGTCCTGATGAAACATCACCGCTTTTCGATTCACTAGAGCAAGTCTTTTTTTTCCTCAAATCTTGGTTCAAACGCTCTAATTGCTGACAGTATATTTGAGCATTAATTGTTGCATTAGGTGGTAAGAATTCAAAGTGTGTTATTCCTTGGCGATCCCAGCAGATTGAAAGAAGAGACCTTTTGCCCATGAAGTTCCCTTCTCGGCTGTGGCTGGAGTCCTTCCCCTTTACCAAACCACTGTCTACGACGCTTAACATTTCAATAAAAGATCCATTTTTCGTCGTCAGTCAAAAGTTTATCCAAAAAAAGTGAAACAAGTTGGCGAGAATGGAGAGAAGAGCAGATGTTAACTCGGGATTTGAGGTTGTTTTCAGACAATTCATGAGGCACCCATTTTCCAAGTTTAGGAACTTTTCCAAGTTGTTGAAGATAACGATGAACAGTTGTATGGTTTGAATTGAGAACCACTGCCAATTCCTCAACTGATAAAGCAGGATTTTCTTCAAGGGCTGCTTCAAGAAGCTTTTCATCAAACTCAACTGGACGTCCGGTTCGATCTCCATCTTCAAAGGCGTAATCTCCACTTCTGAATTTTGCAAACCATCTTCTGCAAGTTCTTTCATTCACACATTTCTCTCCATAAACTGAGTGAATGTTTCTAGCCTCTTTGGCTGCTGAGTTTCCTTTCTTGAACTCATAAAGCATTATGTGCCTCAAATGATTCTTGGGTACTTCCATGTTAACAGGGTTTTAATGAAACAAAATTTAATTTTATTGTTCTCTGAAATAAAATTTGATCAGTTTAAATGCATCTAAACATAAAAATAATGTTCAGCTCCATTAGACATTATAAAATACTCTTTAAATTTCATTCATTTTAACAAAAAGTTAAAATTCGGACAGAACTTATGGGATGACCTGATATATATATATATATATATATATATATATATATATATATATATATATATATATAT